AAAAAAACCTCCTTATTTACATGAGTCTTTTAATTTCAGTCATTTTAGTAAGTCTTCACTTATCTGGGTCCTTCCTCAGTTTCTGCCTCGTGGTAAGTATGCTGCAGAATGCTGTAATGTTTACATAGCATGCAATTCAACTAGTTAAAAGTCTAATTCTTCACTTACCAAACTACCAGTAGGTAACATCAATACTAGTAAGTGAATCAAGTTTGCTGTCATTTTATTTACTAGTGGTTTGCCCTATCAAGTGTTGGTAGGAGTGGATTGGGTAGTTCCTAATTGGGCTGTTTACTGTTAGTTGCTTATCTGAGTTGGTAGTTTCTTGATTAGAGAATTGTTTACTTATTGATTGTTGGCCTAGTGTTAATCTTGGTGTTAATCATCCAGCTGCTGATTGTTGGTAAGATGGTGTTTTTTTTTAATGGGTGTGGATGTTGTATCTATGTGCCTATCGACTTGTCTAAGTTCATAGTATTCAGTGAGTTGGCTTAGTCTAGAACAGTGTTTCTTGACCTTGTCAACTTGAAGATGTCTGGACTTTAACTCCCAGAATTCCCCAGCCAGCATTCGCTGGGGAAAATATGGTTGTCTGCCTTCATGGACATCAACTAGCAGTCAGAAGACATGGTGACAATTCCTGAATTTCACAACCAGGGACAGATTTAACCATGATTTCAACTGGGAAACACCCTAGACCAAGCCAAGTCCAAAAATACTAAAGAATTCTTAGAAGCCTGGCACTAGGACAAATCTGCTGTCAATAGACACATAGAGATAAACAACACCTAGGTAAGGGTAAAAGGTTCCCCTCGCACATATGTGCTAGTCATTCCCAACTCTAGGGCGGGGGTGCTCATCTCCATTTTAAAGCCAAAGAGCCAGTGCTGTCCAAAGACGTCTCCATGGTCATGTGGCCAATATGACCAAACGTCAAGGGCGCATGGAGCACTGTTATCTTTCCACCAAAGTGCTCTCTATTTTTCTACTTGCATTTTTATGTGTTTTTGAACTGCTAGGTTGGCAGAAGCCGGGACAAGTAACAGGAGCTCACTCCATTACACAGCGCTAGGGATTCGAACCGCTGAACTGCCAACCTTTCCGATCGACAACCTCAGCATCTTGGCCACTGAGCCATCCTCAAACAACACCTACCACTTTTCAAAAGAGACAATCAAAAAGAAAAGAAAAAGACCTAAACACCTCCTCGCCTCACCTCCTCCTCAACTGCTCAACGCCCAGATAAACCGAGATTAACACCAAGATTAATCAGCAAGACAACTCCCACCAACACTGGCAGGGCAAGCCACCAGTATATAACATGAGAGCAAATCCGATTTCCTTATTGGCACTGATGATGTTACCTATTTTGGTGTTAATCTCGGTTTATCTGGGCGTTGAGCAGTTGAGGAGGAGGTGAGGCGAGGAGGTGTTTAGGTCTTTTTCTTTTCTTTTTGATTGTCTCTTTTGAAAAGTGGTAGGTGTTGTTTGAGGATGGCTCAGTGGCCAAGATGCTGAGGTTGTCGATCGGAAAGGTTGGCAGTTCAGCAGTTCGNCAGGATTGTTTTGTTATGAATATTTTTGTCCAAGATTTTGTATTTTTCATTACCTGAATGGAGAAACTCTTAAAATGGCACAGTGGAAGTGAGCTAATTTCCAGTCGTAGTGCAGAAAAGAATATAGGGGCAATGTTTTGGTTTTAAAACAACGTTAAACCTATCTTGGGGTTTGCATTATAACTTTTCTACATTTCATGCTTCAAGATGGGGAGAAGGGCCTGCAAAGAAAGAGAAGCAAGCTGTCTAAATCTGTTTTACAACATCCTATATTCACTTATTGGAGACTTTCCAAATTGCTGCTAACTGTAAAATCAGAACTTGTGAAAATGTTCGATAGGGTGGCAGAGAATAAATAATACATGAAACATGAAAGCTGTTCAGCCAGCAATTTGCTGTCACTATATTTGCTTTTAGCAAATATTTATTTATTTTTATTTATTAAATTATTCATTAAATTGCTCAAGACTTACCCCTCCTTCACAAAAAAAAATGAAACATGAAATATTAAAAGCAACATAGAGCAGCAATCGAAGCAAGATGGTGACATCCTATTACTCTTCCACATGACTTTTGAAGAGTTTTGTTTAACCAACTTTTGAAAGACAACCACCAAGGGGGCTAATCCTGTTTTCAGGATAGGCTGTTCTAGAATATTGGGAGCATTAGTGAAAAACACCCTTTGCCCTTTCTAGTTCCCAACCCTCTGATTTCACATGGGACAGCACTAGCAGTTTTTCTCAGAAGAAATACATAGGATGGGCCAAGTCTAGTTGGAGTTGCCATTAAAGACAATATAGGTTAGACCAGCACCTGGAAACCTATTGGGAGTCAGTTCAAGAGCAGCAATACAAGTATTAAAGGCTCATAGCAACCCAAGAATCAGCTGCATTTTTAACCAAATGAGTGGTAATAATAGTGTAAGTCACAACAGCAAAGTTGTTGTGCTTCAAGAAAAGGTACAAGTGGTGTGAAGATCAGCAAGAGCCACCCAAGCATGCAATAGTAGGTATGACTCAAAGAACGTCTCCAAGTTGTAATCCTGTTACCTCAAAAGTAGTACTTTTATGTCAAGAGATACCACTTACTTCCTCTTTTACCACTTCCAGTGTTGGAGGATCTTCTGAATAAGGAATAGAAGTAGAGCAAAATAGTGCCTGCACGCCATCACACATAGGCAATTACAGGTGTCTCTTATCTTTTTAAGTGGGAGAACTTGCACAATTGGTGGCTGACTAAATACTTTTTTGCCCCACTATATTATTTATGAAAAATACTTTTAAAACATCATTTCCAATACAGCTATCTTGGAAGATTGCTTTGTTTCATTTCTCCATCCTGAGAAAAGATGGTTTTGTCTACTCTTTTATAGAATGTTTTAAATAGATATGTCTCTTTGCATTGTGGAACATAACCCCTAATTCCATGATGGAGAACCTATGGCACACGTCAGTGATGGGTTCCTAACCGGTTCACTACTAGTTTGCTGAGAGAGAGTGTTTTGAGTGCGCACAAAAATGTTGCCATTTTCACCCTTCCAGAAAAGTCTCCAAAGCCTAGGGAGCAGTGATGGGTTGCAGGAGGTACACCCTGGTACGGGCGTACTGGAGCCTGCCTGGAGCACCGGATATCGTTCCAGTAGTCCGGAGGGCTCCCCCGCCCGCCCTCCTTACCTGTCTTTTAAGACTTCCGCAATTCCGAGCACGCATCTGTGTGATGCTCCGTGCAGCAGCTGGAGGCTCACGGAAGCGCTAAGATGCATGCGCTCGCTGCACGTATCCATGTGGACACCGCCGGGCCCATTTCAACCATACTGGTTGGAACGGGATCCGGAACCCACTACTGCTGGGGAGGATCGCACGCGCATAGGTGGGAGGGAAGGATTGAATTGGTGTGGGCATGCATGAGCGCACAATAGTGCACCCACACACAATTTTGGCACGCCATAAGAAAAAGGTTCACCATCACTGCCCTAATTCTACTACATACACAGGATTTTCATCCCCGATGTATTGACTGGAATATCGTGCCTAGTCCAAGTTCTGCAGAAGGTATTGCTCAGCTCTACTGCTCCTTGCATAGACTTTCCTTCTTCTCTTTTAAAGAAGCACAAGAAAAAGAGCAAAGCAAACAAAAAAGGTTGCTCCTTTTCCCTGTCATTGTTCATTGCTTTTTTTTAATATTTTGAAAAGCCCAGCTCCACTCCACCCACCCCCCACATCTTAGAAAACCCAGCTCCACCCACCCACCCACCCAAGTAGAAAAGCTTTGAATGACTGACTTCAAAGTAGGTTCGGTAGGAAATGTAGATAAAATCCGATGCCACATACTTTGCTCTTGTTGGTGAAGGGACATGTAAAGAAGGCTCCAGAGTAATGTGTTGGACGTCGTGTCTGTGCCTGCAATAAAAAGGTCTCCAATAATGAAGAACAGGTAGTCTTCATTAAAGCTGCTTTCCCCATTGATCTTCTTTTCCTCATCTGAATGCAGGAGATACATATCAATGAAGTCTCGGGGATACTGAGCATCCAAGCTTTCCCTGTGCTGTTTAATGATGTTTTTCAAGAAAGCTGTGATATCCAGCACAATCTGCCTGAATTCTCTGAAAGGTCCAAAAGGAAGATAATAGAGCCACGGGCAAATGTTGACCAACAGTACCTGACTATTCAGGCTGAACTCCAGTGCACGTGACATCAGGTTTAGCATGTTCTTGAACTCTGCATCATCATAATCAAAGCGCCTACCAAAGGCCATTGAGCAGATCACATTGGACACTGCGTTGCCAATTATAGGGAAAGGGTTGAATTGCTCTTCTCCATGTTTCAGGATCTCTTCTTTCACATACTTGAATTCTTCAATGATTTTAGGCTCCAGACTGTGCTTTCCTAGTCCAAAGTGACGGAGAGTTGAGTGGGAAAACTTCCTTTGTTTTTTCCACACTGGATTATAAGGCGCAAACACCACACCTGTATGGAGAAAGGAACATTTAAGACTTGAAACAGGGCTTCTTTGAATCCTTGTCCACAGCTTCTTTCATTCCAAAACCTTCGTCAGCCAGCCTGTTGCTTGCTGGCATAGAAAGTGGGGAGGGAATAGGGGAAAGATTACATTGCACCTTTTCAAGGTTGGCTTTGGTATGCAGTTGCTTAGCTTCAAGGGGACTGGGCTGTATATTGTGTTTGAAGTTGAGGTCTTTGCTCAGTTTCCCTCATAGCTTGCTTGAAACTGTTTGCTTTCAGTTTATTCCTAGTAAAAGTACTTTTCTCTAAATCTATGGAGTCAAGGGTTTCTCTTTCCTAGGAATTGAGCAGAGGCAGCCCTGAGAGCCTTGAAGAGACAATAATTTTGGACATAAAGGTCTTACATAGCCTAAGCTCCGCATGTAGGCTCTAGAAAAGATCTCCAAAAATTATTGCCAAATTTTCTTTTAAATATGACAGAAGATTAAAAAAAATTAAATACAAGACTGGAAGATAATCACATTAAATTTTAGTTACATTAAATACAATGAAGCTTATATCTGGGAGAAACATGTTTATTTTTAGGAGTGCACACCACTTCATAACCAAGTGCGACATCAATATCTTTGATATGGAAAAATTGAGCACCCCTACTTTATGCAATGAATAGAGCATAAATCCTGAACCCAAACTTTCATTTCCTACAAAAGCATCTTTGAAGCCACTTAAATTTCAATAGGCTTTAGAAACAGAGCAAGCTGCCTTAAGAGTATGTCAGAATATTTGCTCATCTCTTACTTAATGGTGTGTTTAAAATTTCGTTTTTCCAAAACAGTCATTCTGAAATCTGCCATAAAGTATCTTTGGAAGGCTGAAATGCTTTAAAAATATGTTGCTCTTTCTTGTGTCCATTAATTATTTTGCACAAAGTTTGTTTCATATGTTCATAAAATCAAGGGGAACCTCTGGCTGATAATGGCATGTATCACATTAAAGGAAGAGCATGTGAATACAGTTCTAATCTTACATGTGTACTTGTTGAGACCAACTGTATTACAGTTGGTGTTATGGGGCAGTAGACAGGTGGGTTTGTTATAGATTTCTGAACTCATATCGAAAGGTTTAGGCAATTTCAGAAATCTTCAACAAAGGCTTTTAACACATTTCAGTTGTTGACTGATAAGGAACTTGCAGTGTTTGTAATCTGCTTCACTTATATACTGCATCTGTAGAACCATCCTGTCTCGTCCTCCTTTTCCACCACGCTAATTTGTATCCTGCATTAGTCTAACCCTTTTATGCAGCTGATTAAGTGAGCTCTAGGTCACAAATCCATACACCCTTTAATGTAATTTGTTAATTGGAAAAAGTCCCCCCCCCCAAAAAAA